AACCTGCTCCCGCACCCACCTTCCGCCCGGACCCCGCCCCCCAACCTGCTCCCGCACCCACCTTCCGCCCAGACCCCGCCCCCTCTTAGAGTATTTTGCAGGTTTTTTTGCTCAGCCGGTTCTGGCAGGGCTTTTTTTTTTTTCTTTTTGCTTGCCAGAATTGCCCTAGGGGTTCCTTGAAATTATTTAAAGCTGAAAAGGGTTCTGTGGCCAAATAAAATTGGGAAACACTGATCCAGCTCACTTCTCTGGGATTGTTCCACCCCAGAATCTGTAAACCCATCGAGGGGCGCAGAGCACCTCCACGGGAATCAGCCTCACCGTAGCGTGAGAACCTGTCTGTTGTAGCATTGTGAGATCTGCCCTGCCCGCCAGGCTGGCTGCTGAGTCAGCTCACCCGGTGAGCACCAAGAAATGGCACCGCAGAGAGTGGCATGTCGGCCAAGGGAACTTCCCGAATTGCCAGACACGGCCTTGCTTGGGTGACCCAGTGGGGAAGCCCAGTGACAGCATTGATGCAGCTGGGCTAAGAGCACGTCACACGCTGACGGCTCCACCGAACCCGTGCGCGGCGCCCCAGGGGCCAGGGTTGGGGTTTCGGTTTCTGACCAGAATACCCTCATCTCTTGCTCCTGACCTGGGCCTTCCCTGGCACCGGACCGAGAGGGGAGGCGAACGCTTGCTTGCTTGCTCTCCCTGGCGTGGGAGGGTCACTCATGCACTGGGGCCTGGGCCGCTCTGTGGACATCCGGAGGAGGGGACTGTCCTTTTCTTACTTAATAAAGAAGAACATTTGAGAACCCTCCGGAGCTCCAGATTTCCAGGGGTCCTGGGGATGGGGTAAGGGAGAGCCTGAGTGACGAGGAGGTGGCGGTGGGCTGGGGTGTCCGTGTGCCGCCACAGTGAGGAGTCCTTGCGTCTCGTTCCAGGGCAGTTCCCCAGCAGCTTCGTGGAGGCCGTGGCTCTTCCCAGTTTGACGCAGGGAGAGAAGCTGTTTGTCTGCACAAATGACTTCGCGTCCCAGGAGCCGGGGAGCCTGTCGCTGCAGAGAGGTAACTGCTCCTCCTTGGGCTCCTGCCTTGCCTGTCGCTCGTGTGCCGGGGCACAGAGGGCTCCTAGCCGCACGGTGGGTTGTGGGCCTGCAGGCGGCTTTGTGGGGCTGGGGCCCGCTCTGTGGGGCTCCTTCTGGATGTTTTCCTTAGTGCCCCAGCTGCTGGAGCCGTGCGATTCACCGGGCTCTCTGCTTTCAGCAAAGGCAATGCAGACAGCAGCCCTGGCTAGGGAGACGAGCTGGATGAGCCCACAGACTCAGGGAGCAGACGGGACTGAAGCGCCTCCAGGGCGTGCTGTCTGGGTTTGGAGTGGTGGGGTTGGCAGGCGCGGTTCATACCCGGCCCCCCATGCACATGCAGGGCCCTGGGGCGGTCCACCCGGCTCTGGTGTCTCTGTGGTGCGGTGCTGGGCTGACGAGGGGAGATAGAGGACTCAGAAATGGGGGTGAGTCCCTGAGCCAGTATCTCTCCTTCTTCCCCAGGAGACCTGGTGATCCTGAGTGGCCCCCTCACCGTCAGCTGGCTCCAGGGCAGAAGCTGCTGGGGCTCCAAGGGCTCCTTCCCGTCCTCGTGCGTGCGGGAGCTTTGCCTCTCGCCCTGGCGCCGCCGGCCCCCCCAGAGCCCCGTCCTGGTGCCTGCCGACGCGCTGGGCCAAGCCCGGGCATTGATGAGCCTCTCTGCGCAGCTGGAGGAGGAGCTGGACTTCAGGGAAGGGGATGTGATCACTATTGTCGAGATCCCCGAGCCCGGCTGGTTCACGGGGGAGCTGGGCGGTCGGCGCGGGATCTTCCCGGAGGGATTTGTGGAGCTGCTGGGTCCCTTGAGAGTGCCAGGGGGCCCAGAGGGGCCGGGGCCCTCCGAGGGGCCCCGTGTTAACGGCGTGGCAGAGGGGTGCCCTGAGCAGGAAGGGGGCCCGTGCGGCATCGCGCTCTACCGGTTCCAAGCTCTGGAGCCCAACGAGCTGGATTTCGATGTGGGAGACAGAATCCAGATTGTGGGGGTGCTGGAGGATGGCTGGCTGGAGGGCCAGCTGCGGGGGGGGGGGGGCTGGGGTGTCCGTGTGCCGCCACAGTGAGGAGTCCTTGCGTCTCGTTCCAGGGCAGTTCCCCAGCAGCTTCGTGGAGGCCGTGGCTCTTCCCAGTTTGACGCAGGGAGAGAAGCTGTTTGTCTGCACAAATGCCTCTGCCTCCCAGGAGCCGGGGAGCCTGTCGCTGCAGAGAGGTAACTGCTCCTCCTTGGGCTCCTGCCTTGCCTGTCGCTCGTGTGCCGGGGCACAGAGGGCTCCTAGCCGCACGGTGGGTTGTGGGCCTGCAGGCGGCTTTGTGGGGCTGGGGCCCGCTCTGTGGGGCTCCTTCTGGATGTTTTCCTTAGTGCCCCAGCTGCTGGAGCCGTGCGATTCACCGGGCTCTCTGCTTTCAGCAAAGGCAATGCAGACAGCAGCCCTGGCTAGGGGGAAGACTCAGGGAGCAGACGGGACTGAAGCGCCTCCAGGGCGTGCTGTCTGGGTTTGGAGTGGTGGGGTTGGCAGGCGCGGTTCATACCCGGCCCCCCATGCACATGCAGGGCCCTGGGGCGGTCCACCCGGCTCTGGTGTCTCTGTGGTGCGGTGCTGGGCTGACGAGGGGAGATAGAGGACTCAGAAATGGGGGTGAGTCCCTGAGCCAGTATCTCTCCTTCTTCCCCAGGAGACCTGGTGATCCTGAGTGGCCCCCTCACCGTCAGCTGGCTCCAGGGCAGAAGCTGCTGGGGCTCCAAGGGCTCCTTCCCGTCCTCGTGCGTGCGGGAGCTTTGCCTCTCGCCCTGGCGCCGCCGGCCCCCCCAGAGCCCCGTCCTGGTGCCTGCCGACGCGCTGGGCCAAGCCCGGGCATTGATGAGCCTCTCTGCGCAGCTGGAGGAGGAGCTGGACTTCAGGGAAGGGGATGTGATCACTATTGTCGAGATCCCCGAGCCCGGCTGGTTCACGGGGGAGCTGGGCGGTCGGCGCGGGATCTTCCCGGAGGGATTTGTGGAGCTGCTGGGTCCCTTGAGAGTGCCAGGGGGCCCAGAGGGGCCGGGGCCCTCCGAGGGGCCCCGTGTTAACGGCGTGGCAGAGGGGTGCCCTGAGCAGGAAGGGGGCCCGTGCGGCATCGCGCTCTACCGGGATTTCGATGTGGGAGACAGAATCCAGATTGTGGGGGTGCTGGAGGATGGCTGGCTGGAGGGCCAGCTGCGGGGGAGGCGGGGCATTTTCCCTCACCTGTTTGTGAGGCTGGAGGCTGGGAACTTGCAGGGAGAAGGCAGCTGTGGGCAGGCCACCTGCCAGGACCCCGAGGAGGCCTGCACCGGGGCCCTTTCCCTGCCAGGGGAGCAAGGGGGCTGGCACCCTGTGGGAGAGAGACCCAGCACAACTGCATCAAGGCCAGAGGGTCTCTCTGATGCTGGGTTTGGGGAGTGCAAGCCTGCACCCTCGGGCGGGCACCCTCCCAGCACAGGGCCCCTTCCCACGGACTCTGCAAAGGCCATCAATGGCATTTCCCCCACTCCCCAGCCAACAGGCAGACTCCACTGCCGGGTGGTTGTATTGGAGCCCAGCCAGAGTCCTGGGCCCTCGCAAAGGCCCTTGGAGATCCCTGCCTCGCCTGAGAAGAATGCCCCAGGGGCACCAGGCTCCCCCCTGCACAGTAGCCAGAGCCAAGCCTTCCCTTCTCCCAGCAGCTGGGCTGCGGCAGAGCCTGGCGAAGGCCGGACGAGCACCCTTTTCCAGGACCTGGCCAGCTGGGTGGAGGAGCAAAAGCAGAAATCCAGATCTTGCTCTTCCAGCTTCCGGGGTGCCCATGAAGGCCTGGGTTCGTGGCCTGAGGCCCAAGCAGACTGGCCCTCACCCATGCTGCACGGAGACAGCGGCGCGGACCTTGACTGCAAGCTGACCGAGCAGCTGGCGCAATTTGAGCAAAGCCTGGCCAGCACGGGAGCCGAGTCGGACAAGGGGGTCCCCCCCCACTTCTCCATCCTGGACTACAGCTCGGAGGAGGACATCGTGCGGGGCTCCCCCGAGGGCACCCCCCACTGGAGGCTGCCGGAGAGGAGGAAGGCCCTCAGGCCCCCACCTCCTCGCCCCAGCGCCCCAGCTCTGCCTCCCTCCTTCTCAGTGCGGCCCTCCCGGCCAGCCCCTCTGCCGCCAGAGGAGGAAGACAGCTTCTCCACAGCTGCAGCCCAGGCAGGGGGACTCCGATAGGGCCGCTGCGTGTCAGTGCCCCTTTCTGCTGACGAGGGCCCGGGAGGTGGAACAGGAGCTGGAGGTTTATGGCAAGACTCGAGCTGAGCTGAACTCGCTCTTGGAGGAGCAGCAGGATGAGCTGGAGAGATCGGAGACCTTGGAGAACCTGGAGTTCTGTGACTCCAGCATGAGAAGCCTCATTGCGGAGCTGCAGGAGCTGAGAGGTGAGGAAAGCGGGGGTGGGCGGTGCGGGCCCTGGTCTGTGGCGAATGGCTCCTGAGCGCCGCTGTGAGACGCGTTGTGAGAAGGGCCCTTGCGGTGAGCGTTCCCCCGGGGCTTCCCTGTTC